ACCGCCTACCCCACAAGGTTGTTACAAAGTTTAATGAACTGCAAAATATAACGTGCTCCGCAGAGTGCCTGGCACAGAGCGGATGCTCAGTGAACTGTGGCTGTGTATGAGTGTGTATGACTGAGCATGTGTGCATGCGTGTGTGCATGAGAGGGTGGTGTGTGTGCACGTGTGTGCATGTATGTGCATATGAGTGCATGTGTGCGTGACAGCATGGGTGTGTGCACATAAGGGGTATGTGTGTGCAGGTGTGTGAGTGTACATGTGTATGAGTGTGAGTTTGTGAGCGGTCTGTGCACACGTGTGTGTGTGCATGTCTGAGTGTGTGCACGTGGTGTATGTGTGTGTACACATGTGTGAGTGTGGGGCAGTGTGTGTGCCTGTATGTACACATGCATGAGTGTGGGGTGTGTTTGTGTGTGTGGACACGTGAATGTGGGGTATGTGTGTGTGTACACATGTGTGAGTGTGGGGTGTGTGTGTACACATGTGTGAGTGCGGGGTGTGTGTGTGTGTACACATGTGAGTGTGGGGTGTGTGGACACGTGTGAGTGTGTGTGGACACGTGTGAGTGTGGGGTGTGTGTGGACACGTGTGTGGACACGCACATGCACACTCCATGGTGACTTTTCTTTCTCGTACTGAAGAAATGAAGGGGTGGTGGCAAGTTTGCAGGTGCTTCTGGCATTTTCTTCTCTTCTTTGATGGTGGAGACGGCCAGTGCTGTTCAGGGATCCGGTGGTGACAGTGCCCTTACTGTGCACCCATCTCCACCAGCTTCTCTGGATGCTTATCTCCGCTTCGTGAGACGCCGGACACCACAGAGCACCCTCAGACCAAGGGAAGACAGTTTCTCCAAGATCACAGGATGACATCATTTCACGTCTGAAGCAAGAAAGATTGAGTTTAATAGAACCAGAAGGAAGTGTGTGAGATGTCCCTGTCCAAAGATTTTGCAGGAAAGGACCGAGAAGCCCCCTTTCCCTTGGGCCCTGAGCGAAATGGTTAACTTCGACTAACCGGGCAGGGAGAGGGCCCTGAGCGAAATGGTTAACTTTGACTAACAGGGGAGGTTTGGTCTGACAGCTGTGACTTGCCTGTGAGTCTGTGGATCCTGTAAGTGAAGCTCAACTTCAGGGAGTAGTAAAAAATCATCTCAAGATATTAAATCACCAAAGGAAAACAGAGCAAAACAAGAGTTCAAGCGTCACAGCACATGTTTTATTTAGAGGAAGAGAGAACGGCAGAACGGTCACTTGCTGTTCTGCCAGAAGGTAAATAGTTTGAGGAAAATTCCACGACACTTGTAAAGAAGAGATCAGGCTGTATCCGCAGAGCACTAATGTGACCCGCGGTTCAGCCCCAGAGGAGCCGGCAGACCACTGGGGAAATCCAAGTCAAGTTTGCAGTATCTTTATGCCAGAGAATAGTGGTTTTGTTGATAACAACTGACCCATTGATATCAAACCCTCCTCCACCAGGGCTGCCTTTCTAGAGCTGAGGCTGTGGGTGCGGATGCGGCAGCATCAGCGTTTCTGCAGGACAGGCTGTGTCCACTGGCCCTTCCCGTGGCAGCTCTGGTGCGTCTGCAGGACAGGCCGTGTCCCCTGGTCCCCTGAGGTGGCATCGGTGCATCTACAACACAGGCCACGTCCACTGGCCTGTCCCACTCCCGCTTCCCAGGAGCAGCTCCATCCACCTCAAGGCACAGCCAGGTTCACCCCCAGGAAGCTTCCTTCAACCCGAGTCTCTCTCTGGGCATCCCCAGTCTCTGATGCTGCACCCTCGGCTCTCAGGGCTGCCTTTCCAGTGTGATTGTGGGCCTCACTGGGGCCCGGCTCTTAGCCTCTAGATAAACGCCTCCTGAAATCAGCGAATCTTACAATCTTATATCCACCAGCGAAGCTTGCCAGGCACTTTACATCCGTGCCCAACGTGGAAGAAAGCCCAGGGTCTTCAGCCTCCTTATCAGTGGGCTCCGGAAAGCCTATATGGTTACAGCAACCATGTGGACACTCAGGTAGAACTGAATGCCGTCGTCAAAGGTCCGTGTGGGGTTTCACCGCGAAACTGATGATATGTTACAGACTCAGTACCAGTGAGCAGTTGTTTTAAGCAATAATTTTTTTTTTAATACTTGGATTCACATCCTAAAATGTGGATTCCGAGAATACAGTAGGCTAAATAATGACTTTGACACTGGAACTTTGCTGATTCGGTGAAAAACAAGGATCTTCCACAAAGTTCTAACTATAACTTAACGAAAGTCAGTCAGTGGTGATCTCCGCACCACCACAGCACAGCTGATTGCTTCAAACCGCGTTTCGTTTTAATGGTTCTGAGAACAGCCTGGCAGGCATGTGCACACACATTTAGAAACAGCATAATCCCTTTAGTCATCCAGGAAAAATCGCTGTGTGTGCCCTCCCAGGTGGAGTGTAGTAAATTCTTCCTTTTGTATGCTGGAGGTGAACTGCTTCTTCTTAATCTGTTTGTTTTAAAAGTGTGGCATGCAACTACATTTTTACAAAGAAATCAGTTTAAAAAATCATTTCATCAGCCTGTAGCAAACACCTTATAAAGTGAAAAGATGTGGTATGCGATTTTCCTGTGATATGGAGATAAGTCATAACCTGCCCCATGAGCTTTTTTAATTTACAAGATATTCTACACAGGAAGGAAGGTTTAGTTGTTTTGTGAAATTTTTCAGACTCTTTAAATTTTACTTAAATACACTTAGTAAGGTCTGTGATTTTGAACACTGGCGACAGGAGACCTTTGAGAGTAACTATGAAACACATAATGAGCCAAGGTGGGGATGAATTTGCATGCATTTGCTTACATTTTCTGGGAAGGTCACTAACTGATTACTTTCCTCCCTGTTGCATTTCCCTGTGACGTGTGGTGACATGGTTATGATGTTTGATACATGCCATCGTTCCCTGCTGAGGTGAACCTCACTGGGAAAATCCAACCAATCTGGGGTGTTTAGTGTCACCTTTTACTCACCTCAACTAATCCGGGGTGTTTAGTGTCACCTTCTACTCATCTCAACCAATCCGGGGTGTTTAGTGTCACCTGCTACTCACCTCAACCAATCCGAGGTGTTTAGTGTCACCTTCTACTCATCTCAACCAATCCGGGGTGTTTAGTGTCACCTTCTACTCACCTCAACCAATCCGGGGTGTTTAGTGTCACCTTCTACTCACCTCACTCAACCAGTCTGGGGTGTTTAGTGTCACCTTTTACTCACCTCAACCAATCCGGGGTGTTTAGTGTCACCTTTTACTCACCTCAACCAATCTGAGGTGTTTAGTGTTACCTTTTACTCACCTCAACCAATCTGAGGTGTTTAGTGTTACCTTTTACTCACCTCAACCAATCTGGGGTGTTTAGTGTCACCTTTTACTCACCTCAACCAATCTGAGGTGTTTAGTGTTACCTTTTACTCACCTCAACCAGTCTGGGGTGTTTAGTGTCACCTTTTACTCACCTCAAACTTGCCAAAGAAAAATATATTTATGCTAAGGCAGATGTCACATTTTAATCTGTATTCCTGCGTCTCTGTTGATTTTGATTGTTACTACCCCTGTTGCTGGGACTCAAAACTTCTTCGGAATCAGTATTTCTGCTTAAGAGAACCAGTGCAGAGCCAGCTTTGCCACTGGAGAGGTCACTGAGAGCCCCCGTCCGCAGTCTCGCTCTGGCGCGCAGCAGACACCGGCCTGCCTTCGGCTAGAGCCATACAATCTGAAGACATGTCATTAATGATAAAGACTCTGTTTTCTGTAAATTTCCCATGACAAATGGGTTAACATGAAAACAGCCACCTGCTTTCCAGGGCTGTCACGTGGAAACCCCTTTATCGATGAGCCCTCTTCACACCTCCACCCGCCGTCTCTCTGATCATGTGTCCATGTCGCACTTAACACCCTTGATAAATCAACACTATGAAACACTGTCAGGAAAGGCGTCATGAGAAACAAGTGTTTAAATGGACCTCATCCCTGCCGAGGTGAGATGAATGCGTGGTAACCCAACGCGTCCCACCCAGAGAGACAAAATGATTTCCTAACCCAGGTCTCTCCCCGGCACTATTGGCCTTTGGGATGGAGAAGTCTTGGGAACTTTCTGAATCTCCTAAATAGTGCCTTGAATATTGTCAGTTTTCAATAATTTTCCTTAAGGGATGGATTGACATTAGGGGGAAACGTCAGGAACAAAAGGAAACAAAAAGAAGACAGGATTTTGAATGTTTCTCTGGTAAAAGAGAAGCTCAGCACCCGACTGGTTTGATAGCATCTGATCATCCTTCCTCAGTTTTCTAGCCTTCAGATTCTCTTTCCAATGCAAGGTTTTTAAAAATGTATCCACTTTGGGCTGGGTATGGTGGCTCACACCTGTAATCCCAGCACTTTGGGAGACCGAGGCAGGTGGATCATCTGAGGTCCTGAGGTCAGGAGTTTGAGACCAGGCTGGCCAACATGGTGAAACCCCATCTGTATTAAAAATACAAAAATTATCCAGGTGTGGTGGGGGGTGCCTGTAATCCCAGCTACTTGGGAGGCTGAGGCAGGAGAATCGCTTGAACACAGGAGACGGAGACTGCAGTGAGCCGAGATCGCGCCACTACACTCCAGCCTGGGCAACAGAGCAAGACTCCATCTCTCTTCTGAACCTAACGTGACAGAAGGAGCCTTTTCCATGATGACGTGACCTGCGTAGAAATGATGCCACACCTGTGTGCTGTCCTGCGGGGACACACCTTGCTTAGCTGTGTCTCTACTGCTGGATTTGTTGGTATTTTTATAATCCTGCACTTTTACAAGTATATTCATGTTTGCTGTCTCACTTTCCCCACATTTCGTGCTATTGTCTTAGGCTAGACGTCTAGGAACAGACTTGCTCTGTCAGTCACAGGGCGTGGGCGTGGTGAAACTGTAGACCAGAGGCTGGTGGGGGAGAACACGCTTGTTGACTTGGGACCTCTTTTCTTACAGCCGTCTCCTATACAAATTACAAGAAAACCCCCCCGCCGGTGCCCCCTCGGACCACCTCCAAGCCTCTGATCTCGGTGACGGCGCAGAGCAGCACCGAATCCACCCAGGATGCCTACCAGGACAGCCGCGCACAGAGGATGTCCCCGTGGCCCCAGGACAGCCGCGGCCTCTACAACTCCACGGACAGCCTGGACAGCAACAAGGCCATGAACCTCGCCCTGGAGACGGCCGCGGCCCAGCGCCACATGCCCGAGAGCCAGAGCAGCTCCACGAGGACCAGCGACAAGGCCATCCTGGTGTCCAAGGCGGAGGAACTCCTCAAGAGCCGCTGCTCCTCCATCGGGATTCAGGTAGCTGCTCGTGGCCGCCCCTCAGGGCCTGGCTCTACTCAGTCCTGCCAATAGCATAGATTAAGCCAGAACCCAGCCAGTGGCCCTGGGTCCTTAGCACTGACCCTAACCCCAGCAGGGCTGCGGAACCTGAGAGCAGGGCTGTGCGTTTGCATTGCAGACCTGCCAGCGCGGCGAGTAGGCGGGAGACCCCGGAGGTGAGGCAGACCCCGGTCCAGGGCTGAAGGAAAGCCAGGGGTTCCAGCTCCCTGTCCCCTGTCACCCTGAAAATACACTCCGGGCCGCGCGTTTTCCAAGGGCCAAAGGCTGCCTAGAGAGGATGGAGATAACGCTATTTTGATGCTTAAAAGGGAGGGTTTCTGTTGAAGTCTGATTTTTCAAAAAGCTTCTCAGTATTGTGGCCAAAGAGTTGAGTGGGGGAACCAAAAGGTGTTGGGAATGAAGAGGTAAAAGGAAAGGTAGGCCCTCGTCCGTACAGAACCTGGGCGTACTCACAGCAATTTCAGGTACAGGCAGTCCCCTCAGCTGGGGTCACAGATGCTGCATCCGTGGTTTCAGACCACAGATGGTTGACCCACCGTCCATCCGGGCCCCCAGATACAGGCGTGGCAGACGGTCCCTTTCCCCGCGAATGGAGAGCTCTGGCCGGCTCCCGCCCACAGGGCACCTCCCTCTGCAAGTCCGTTTTAGGTGCAGTGCTGCGCACCCAGGGAGGCCGGGAGATTGTCCTGTGATCTGGGTCGGGCAGCCCATCCCTCCGGGATCTGGGAGATGTGGTTGAGCAGGGCTGGATGTCAAGTCCTCCGCCAACACGGCCCACCTCCTGCTTCCTTTTACCCCTGCATTCAGCCTGCGTTCCTCGGAGCTTTAACAATCAGATTCTTGATTGCCGCTGGGGCGGCCCAGGGAGGAGGGTGAGTGGAGCGTGCGTGAGAGCCGGGCCGTGCCCTGGTAGCTAGGCATGCGGGTGGAGAGAGCAGGGGAGCCGCCCGCTGGTCCAGGGCCTCCGAACCGGGTCTCCACATGTGGCTTCATTGTTTTGTTTAGGATTCTGAATTCCCAGAGCATCAGCCATACCCAAGGTCAGATGTAAGTACCGAAATGTGCTCCAAAGCCGCGTCCGCATGACTTTCATTTTCTCTCCCTTTTTGGATGTTTATGCGACTGCTCTTGTCGCCTCTGTCCTGATTCTATATGCCAGGCACTATGCTGGGTGCCTCCATCCATCCCCTCTTGCCTCTGTCCTGATTCTATATGCCAGGCACTATGCTGGGTGCCCCCATCCATCCCCTCTTGCCTCTGTCCTGATTCTATATGCCAGGCACTATGCTGGGTGCCCCCATCCATCGCCTCTTAGATGAGGACAAGGGGCTCACCAGGGTCCATAACCTGCCTGCAGCCCTGGGCCTCGCTGGGCCCGGGCACCCGTAAGCAGGAAAGCCAGGGTGCCCTCGCCTGTCTCCGTCTCCAGGGTCATGTCTGCAGTAGAGACTGGAGAGGTCCCCAAATTAGCCAGGTGACTTCCCACTGCCAGATACTCCCACCCTCTCTCTTTTCTCCTCAGCTGCCTCCCACAGGTGCCCTCCAGGATGTCCACCCAGCCATGACCGAGGCAGCGCCCACTTCTAAGCACGTGCAGTACCGACTTTATCTGAAATGAGTGGGACATAATTTTGGAAACTCATACAGTTAAGTCAGCACGCTGGGCACAATGCCGCCGCTTCCTGCCCCACCCACAGCCAGGATCCCACACCCCTCAGTGGTCACCCCTCTTCCACTCCCAGCTCTCACCCCTGGCACAGCAGCCTCTGCTGAGTACAGGCTTCTCCTCATCCCCCCAGCTTCCCCTGCAAAGCTCAGCCTGTGCCTTTACCCCCTCCCGGGGGCCTCTCTGGACCCCAGCCCCACACACTGTGTCCCGTGAGGGGGACTGCACCCCCAGCCTCTTGCCACCCTGCACCCAGCACTGTGCCTGGCACATAGGGAGTGCTCAGTAAATGTTGGGTGAGCGAGTGGACGGATGGGTCGCTGGGTGTGTGCTGGGTGAGGATGGATGCAAAGACAGGAATGAAGGTGGATAACAAAGTCACCTTTCAAGGCAGTAAGAAAAAAAAACAAAACGTACATCCTGTGTGTTTTCTGTGCATCCTGTGAGCTGGTGACCTCACAGTTATCCAAAGGAAGCGAATTGAAAAGCTATGGAGAAAATGTAGCTGGAGCAGCTCCAGTGTCAGGATAAGGAAAACAGCCAAAGAATTGAAGCCACTGCAGGGGTAAAGGGGAGGAAAAGAAGGAACCGAGTGGATGAAAGACAGGTTCCTGTGGGTGCCTAGGAGGCCTCAGGAGGGGAGCTGCAGACAGCAGCCTTGCCAGGGCAGGAGGTGACAGGCTGAGACAGGAGTGAGCAGGCTATGGACAGGTGGCCACATCCCCGCCAGGCACCAAGGCACGATTTAATTCTCATAATAACCCTGTGTGCTGGTTGTTACTGTGCCCAGCCTATGGATGGGAAAACTGAGGCTCAGGGGGGTCAGGGACTTGCCTAAGGGCTCACGGCCAAGACCATGAGTGAAGCCAGCAGGTGAGACTCTGGAGCCTGCACTCTACTCCACTCCTCTCTGCTCTGCTTCTCAAAGAGGAGAAAATCCCAGAATGATTCTGTGCCCTCAGGAGCCTGCCCTGGTTCTGTTCCTGTTCTGGGACACAGGGCAGGTGTCACGCTGTTCTGAGCTCATACACAAAGCTGGCCAGCCTGTGTTCAACCAGCATTCAACGGGACTGGCTTCCAGGAAACTTTGGGCACAGTTTTGTCTGAGTGCAGATAGCAGGAGAATCTGTGTTCTGCAAATGTCATTCCTACAGATGACCAGCGTCCATGCTACTGAACACATCTTCTGTGGAGCTCACGCCCTCTGTGGCCCGCTGGCTCACAGAAAGACAGCTCCAGGGGGGTCCCGTCCCAGGGGGTCCTGTCCCACAAGGCAGCTCCCTTGTTCACAGTGCATTGCATGACCTTTTACTACCAGGGTTTGAATTCAGGATTCTCATAATTACTGGGCTGTGTCTAACATGATCCCCAGTGAGTGAGGGTCCTCAGCTCACACCTCCTATGGCCCCCATCCTCCCGCACTGCCCAGCTTGGAGCAGAAGCCAGTGGCAAGTCCCCTATTCCTCAGATGTCTGGACATGGCCGCGTGAGTCTGGCCCTTACAGCAGGACACACAGACAGGTCTCATCAGAGCTCCAAATTTGCAGGCCAGATGCCCGTAGGAGAGAATGGGCCCCAGTCTTGGCACTCATCGGCCAGGCCTAGGATAAGAAGGAGAGCTTGCGGGCATGGCTGAGCCACCTCGGAGAGGTCCTCTGACCCGGTCTGGCCTGACCTTGCTTTTCTTCCAATTGGACCATTTGTGTTTTCACTTTCATTTTTATCCTTTGCAGTTTGTCTCTCCTGCTAAGTTTTCCATTTTCTTTTGTGTGCATGTGTGTGTTTGGGGAACTCTGTGGGAAATGTTTACAGCTCCCAGATACTGCAGTTAGGTGAGGTGGAGGCCTGGTCTAACAGTCAGGATCCTTCTGTCCCTGGTGCCTTACAAGCCCCACCTTTAGAAATGAGATCAGTTTTGTTGTTGTTTTTTAATTTTTTTTTTTTTTTTTGAGATGGAGTCTTACTCTGTTGCCCAGGCTGGAGTGCTGTGGCCTGATCTTGCCTCACTGCAGCCTCCGCCTCCTGAGTTCAAGTGATTCTCCTGCCTCAGCCTCCCAAGTAGCTGGGATTACAGGCATGGGCCACCACACCTGGCTAATTTTTGTATTTTTAGTAGAGATAGGGTTTCACTATGTTAGCTAGGCTGGTCTCGAACTCCTGACCTCAGCTGATCCACCTGTCTCGGCCTCCCAAAGTGCTGGGATTACAGGCGTGAGCCACCGCGCCCGGCCAATGAGATCAGTCTCTATTCTGTGATCTCACCAGGTTGTGAGAAGGCAGAGGCAACCTGGAAAAGGCGCTGACTGGTGTCTGCCCGATTCTCCAGACACACAGTCAGCTGCTCTTCCTCACGGCTGCCCTGGAGCTCAAAGCCTCTCAGGCGGGGCTGGCCACTCACCCCTAACTCTTGGAGGCAGAGCACGTCTCAGAGGGAAAGAGGAGTTTGCATCAAATCCAGGGCACCTGCCCTGCTGTGTGTGAGGTTTGGAAGGAAGAGCAGAAAATGAGCTTGTCGGGAGAGCAGAGATTACAGGTTGGCACCCTGGCCCGATATGACTAGTGAGCGGTTCCTGCTGCCAGCCCTGCCCACAGTCATTTTCTCAGCGTCCCTGCAGAAGCTGGCTCAGAAGCGGCTGGTTGGCTTTGACGCTGCTGCTAGCCTGGGACTGCATGGGAGGCGGGACAGTGATTTCGCTCATTCATCTTTTTTCTTGCACCCATGTATTTTTCAAAACTGTAAGAGACGAGGGCTTGCTGTGTTGCCCAGGCTGGAGTACAGTGGTGCAATCATAGGTCACTCCAGCCTCAAACTCCGGTGATCCTCCCCCTCAGCCTTGCAGAGCACGAAGGTGACAGGTGTGAACCCGTGTGCCTGGCCTCAACACTTTTTAAACCTACTGCTAGCCAGCATTTCCTTTGGAAAAACTCTTGAATTGCCTTTCCACTGTACAAAATAATTTATTTTCTTTGTCCCAGATTTTTCTGTCTCACAGGAAGCCTCTCTATGCCCAGGATTTCTGAAATTGATACTTAACTCCTCCTGGCCAAGTATGATTTTACCATGTCTCCCTCAGACTTTACCTTCCAGCAGTGCTGAACTTCATTTTCCTTAGAAAGATTTCATGAGACAGCCACGATAAAATCTGCACGGTTCATCATATGCGTGCACCTTTAATGTAATTTTAATGTAATATGCATACCACTATTCGCCTGACCATCCTTAAAGCTGGGACGAGAGAACAGGGAATTCGCACTTGCTGTGGACGAACCTACTTGAGTCAGGCCTCATGCTGAGAGTTTTACATCAGTTAACTGAGGCATTGGGTGTCCCCTCTTTGAGACAAGGAAGCAAAGATTCAACAAAATTTAAAAGACTTTCCTAAGAGTTGCATGGCCAGCAAGTAGCAGAATCTGACCAGTTCCAAAAGCTGTATTTTTCAAATTCACTATAAAAATAACAAAAATATATTAGAGGAAATTTGGAGACAGAGAAAGGAAGGAAAAGCTTTTACTTTTTTGTGTGTTTTTCGTCTCTTCCATGGTACACGTACTTGCCTGTGAGTATGGGTGTTTCTACGTGTGTGCATGCACCTGGTAATTCTGTTGTCCATGGCACCTGTTAATCTGTGTCCTTTAAAGTCTGTATTATAAGCATTCTTGAGGTTATCTTTATAACCATCTTTATTTTTTAGAGACAGGGTCTCACTCTATTGCCCAGAATGGAGTTCAGTGGTGCATTCACAGCTAACTGTAGCCTCAACGTCCTGGGCTCCAGTGATCCTCCTGCCTCAGCCTCTGGAGTAGCTTGTCCCACAGGTGCTGCCACTCAGCTAATTTTTGTTTTGTTTTGTTTTTTGTAGAGATGGGGTCTTGCCATGTTGCCTAGGCTGGTCTCAAACTCCTAGGCTCAAGTGATCCTCCTGCCACAGCCTCCCAAAGCACTGGGATTACAGGCATGAGCCACCATGCCCAGCTCCATCGTTTTCACGGCTGTGTGGTATTCCATGTCACGAGTAAATCATGACTTACTGCACATTCCTATCCCACTGTATCCCCCTCATTCTCCCCAGGTGCTACCTTATAAATAATGCTGCAATGAACACCTCACACATTGGTCAGAATTTAAGATCCTTTGTTTAGGCTGGATTCCTAGAAATAGAATAAGTGAGACAAATATTCTCCACATTTTTATGATAAAAACTTTAAAAGTATCCATTGGAATTTATTTCACTCATATCAGATTTGACAATATCTACCAAAATTAAAAAGTGCAAATGCCTCTGACCCAGACCTCCCATCCGGTGGATACATTCACAGAAGTTTTCACACACACACAAGTACAGACATGTATTTGTAGCAGCATCATTTATAATGGCAGAAAACTAGAAACAACCAGATTTCCCTCCACTGAAGGCTCATTAAATGCACTAGGTTGTATTCATCAAATGGGATCCTTTGCAGGTAAAACACGAGGCAGCTCCATAGGTACAGACGTGGAATTTTAAATCTATTCCTTGTATTACAATCCTTTTGTGTAATAATGTTTATGTCGAGCAAGGTAAGGTTTAATAAAGCCGTGACCCACTTAAAACTAGAAAGGGGAATGGTCAATTCTGACAGGAAGGCCAGGATCTTCACTCAGGAACGTTCTTCCTCCTGTAGCCCGTCTCACCCAGCTATCAGAACACGCATCCCAGTCTAGGGACGGCTTCTGTGCCTGTCTTCAGAATTACACCCAATGAAAGTGGACGTCTCTGTCCATTCCCCTGGCTCCGTGGCCGGCCAAGAGCTCCAGGGTTTTCTCATATGCTTTCTTCCATGCCGCACACGGCTCTGGGGTCAGAGAGATCTGGGCAAGAGCCCTGGCCCTGCCCCCAACCAGCTGGGCACTCCTGAGCAAGTCACCCCCCCACTCCTCTGATCCCCCAACTCTCTCCTGGGGCTGGAAACATGCTTGGGGTTATTGTATGGATTACACGTGGTAACGCTGGAACCTCAGCATAGTGCCTGGGACAAGGTACGCACCAAGTAAGTCTTCCCTGTTACCATGATTACTTCTCTTAGCCACAAATCTGAGCCAGTCCTTGTTGACACAGGCTTAACCTTAGGACAGTCACAAACTGCAACTCAAATGTCAACGTGCAGCTCCTCTCTCTTGACTCCCAGAGAACACGGTCATAATTATTTAATGCTTTGCACCTTTTCCTTGTATTGATCAGTAATATGTTTAAGAAAAGAGAGATGTTTTATAACTTAGCTATGACATTTCAGAGAGGGATCAAAAGCCCTTTTGCTACAATAGGTAATATTTTTCTGGAAGGAGGAATGACTCAGTGCCTGGGATCTCATCCATGGCTTAACTAACGTTTGGTTTCAGAGTTTTCCTACTGAGACTTAGGGGTTTTTTGTTTTTAAGAAACTGTACTGTACTATAATTCCCTTGTGGGATAACTTTGCATAGTTGATGATCGTTGAAACGTTTGGTGGGTTTGTGGGGACTTTTTGGCAAATACAGCCACAGTAAGAATCTCTGTGGAATATATGATTTCTGTTCTGATCTGACATCACCCTGCTGGCCATCCTCTTAGCAGATGTGAGACAGCTCTGTGGAGGTCAAGGTGGAGAGTTTGCCTCTGTTTCTGATCAATGCTTAAATTCCTTTCTGTGTCTCTCTGTATGTGGCTGCAGCCATCAGTATAATTCTATTAAATTGCTTATTTGTTGCCATTAGCTACGTTTGGTTCATGCTGTACTTTCATCACCGTAGGGCGTGATAAGAGCTTTTAAGTCCTGTAATAATGCAGTTCAACAAAACCTATTTTTTGCCTGAGCTGAACTAAGCAGTTTTATTTGCATACATTTAAAAGACCAAAGTGCAGCACTGAGTTCAGGTAGTTATGTGAAATGTGATGAGACGCAGGAGCGATGTAATTACTCTGATGTGAATGCATTTCCCTCTCTGTGATTCTACTGGGTCAAGTGTATCTCTGCATTAATTAAACAAATGCGTAATTAATTACAGCAAATCAGCAACAACAACAAAATAGTCCCTTGCCCAGGCCCCATGTGTCAGTTCTAAAATAAGATGTTCTCTGTTGAATTAGGTGGAAACGGCCACAGATTCTGACACGGAGAGCCGTGGTCTGCGGGAATACCACTCCGTCGGGGTGCAAGTGGAAGATGAGAAGCGGTAACTCAGCCCCTTCTGACACGCGGTCACCCCCGAGGGAGAGCTCTTTGTCAAATGCCTGATGGAAGCTCCTAGGTCCTGCTGGCCCTCAGTCATGCCTGTGCTTGTGGAAACAGGGCCATACGTTTATACTTTCCCATTGATAGCCCCCAAGTATGAGTTAACACCTGCCTATGTCTTGTTTTTGCAAGAGGCAAGGGAGTAATTCTTTCCAAAGTAATTTGTCACCTCCGAAAGCAGAGCAGCTGACGGCCTGAAAGTCAGAGTCCTTGATCCAAAGGAAACTGGCCGGGCGCGGCGGCTCGAGCCTGGAATCCCAGCACTTTGGGAGGCCGAGGCGGGCAGATCATGAGGTGAGGAGATCGAGACCATCCTGGCTAACACGGTGAAACCCCATCTCTACTAAAAATACACAAAATTAGCCAGGCGTGGTGGCGGGCGCCTGTAGTCCCAGCTACTCGGGAGGCTGAGGCAGGAGAATGGCAGGAACCCGGGAGGCAGAGCTTGCAGCGAGCCGAGATCACGCCACTGCACTCCAGCCTGGGCGACAGAGCAAGACTCCATCTCAAAAAAAAAAAAAAAAAAAAAAAGGACAGGCTGAGGGTGACACCAATGCAGGCTTCACACCTTGTCATGTTAAACGTAAAATGATAGAAAGATAGCAAAGCACATTCAAGACCTTCGTATAACGTGAAGTTGTTTCACTTCAAAAATACTACCTGGAAACAAAGTGATGTCCATTAGTGTTATGTCCATTAGTGTTATTTTTGCAACGAGGCAGGATGATCATTTTAGTTTATATTTAAAATAGCATGTATTGTCTATTTCATAAAAACAAATTTTGATGAGAATATTACATTGTGAGGGCTCAGCCAGCCTCTGATAGGGACAGTGTTGGGTGGCCTCCCTCATCAGGGAGCATTTTAGCACCCACCCTATGGAGATTTTTGATTACAAAGACATTCCGACCCCAGCTCATGGCTTCCCCAGTTTCCAAGTAGACTTCCTAGAACCTGGCCATCTTCTGCACCAGGGAGCCGGGCAGGCTGCCTTCCATCCTGCTCTGTGACTCAGTGTCCCTCCCGCAAAGGGAACACGTGGCAACGTTACTAACCAGCTCTGTGCTTCTGTGGGTTCAGCCTGCAGAGCCACAGGGATGGCTGCAGCAGCTGGGGCTATGTAGACACAGAGACACACACCACACAGGCACACACTACAGATGCACATATGTACACATATCCCAAACACAGAGATACAGAGGACACACACGTGCACACACACGCTCACAGCGTTCTCACCCAGCATGCTGGTCTCCAACTATAAGCCCCTTCCTGCCGACTGTTTCAGTGATCAGCCATGTGGAAAAGGATGACATTAAAATACAGACAGTGAAAATGTTTTTCAAACACCAAAGTCAGAATTTGGAGTCCTTATTTTGCATATAGGGGTTAATGGGGACATATTAAGTTATTCAGACAGAAGTGGCTCAGGCCCTGAAACACAATTTGGAAGCCACTAAAACTCAGTATGATGTGGGTATTGTTTACATAAAAGAACCTACGACCTCGGCTGTATAAGCTTGTAGCATATTTCTGAAAGGGAGGTAGCCATTTGCTAATAGCGGTTTCATGAAACACATTAACTCTCATTGTATCATTCAATAAACTTAAATCCCAAGTGGGCATTTTTTAGGGCCTGAGACTTAGGCAGATGTTAAAGTTTAACGATTTGCAAAACCAAATGTTCTTCCATAGACAAACACCAGCATATTTCACAGACAAACCACCACCCACTCTTGAGCTGCTATGTTGCTGCGCTCAGGTGCGCTCCTGACAAGCTACATGTAGGATTCTGTTGCACGAAGTCCTCTCAGAAAGGCTACCCTCTCTCTTCCTTCCCTCCTTTTGCAGACACGGGCGTTTTAAACGTTCTAACAGCGTCACGGCTGCCGTCCAAGCTGACCTGGAGCTGGAGGGGTTCCCAGGCCACATCACCATGGAGGACAAAGGCCTCCAGTTCGGCTCATCCTTCCAGCGGCACTCCGAGCCCAGCACCCCCACCCAGTATGGCGCGGTGAGAACTGTACGGACCCAGGGGCTCTTCAGCTATCGAGAAGACTATCGGACCCAAGTGGACACCTCCACCCTGCCCCCTCCGGACCCGTGGCTGGAGCCCGCCATCGACACGGTAGAGACTGGGAGGATGTCTCCGTGCCGCAGGGATGGCTCGTGGTTTTTGAAGCTGCTGCACACGGAGACGAAGAGGATGGAAGGCTGGTGCAAAGAGATGGAGCGAGAGGCGGAGGAGAACGATCTCTCGGAGGAAAGTAAGAGCTCAGGCTTCCCTGGGGCCTCTTAGACACCATTTCTCAGTCATGCAAACATGCACATCACAGCATTAATGGAGAAAAGTTCCTTCCTTTGGTATTCAAGTGAATGAAAATAAACGTGCTTTCTAGTATATCCCCCTCAATTCTAAGAAAAGATATAAATTACATGAAAAGAGAAGCAGTCACTAAGATATCGATGGAAAAGTGTGTGTTCTGTTTGTCAGGTAAGTTGAATAGAAGATCAACTGTGCTGACAGTTTTCTTGGGAGCACAGGTGATCTCATAGTCCACCTAGCAGTTCGCTTGGATTTTGGCAAAAACTTCACTGGGAGCATTCATGTTATTTTCTAGTATTGTTACCAGCTCATGCTTTACAAGAAAATGCCTTGGCATTATGCCAAAGAAAAGTTGAAGGTAAGTAAAAGATTAAGTTAGTTAACGATGTGATGACGTACCCAAAGGTCTCCTCACCTGGGTGGGACGGGAAGGCCACGTCGTTCCTCGACCAGGTGTCACCAGGCAGATCTGTCCCAGCCCCTTTGGGGCTCAGCTGTGCCTCTGCCTCTCCATGTGGAAGGGGACAGCCCCTTATTCTCTACCTTCCTCCCATTTGTCTAGAGAAATCTACCATCAAGACGGTTCAGACCAGGCGCAGTGGCTCACACCTGTAATCCCAGCACTTTGGGAGGCTGAGGTGGGTGAATCACCTGAGGTCAGGAATTCGAGACCAGCCTGGCCAACATGGTAAAACCCCGTCTCTACTAAAAATACAAATTAGCCAGGTGTGGTGGTGGGCACCTATAATCCCAGCTACTTGGGAGGCTGAGGCAGGGGAATCACTTGAACCTGGGAGGCGGAAGTTGCAGTGAGCCAAGATGGTGCCGTTGCATTCCAGCCTGGGCAACAGAGTGAGACACTGTCTCAAAAATAAATTCAGACCAGGCGCAGTGGCTCACGCCTGTAATCCCAGCACTTTGGGAGGCCGAGATGGGCAGATCACAAGGTCAGGAGATCGAGATCATCCTGGCTAACACAGTGAAACCCCGTCTCTACTAAAAAATACAAAAAAAACTAGCCGGGCGAGGTGGCGTAGTCCCAGCTACTCGGGAGGCTGAGGCAGGAGAATGGCGTAAACCCGGGAGGCGGAGCTTGCAGTGAGCTGAGATCCAGCCACTGTACTCTAGCCTGGGCAACAGAGCAAGACTCTGTCTCAAAAAAAAAAAAAAAGAGTTCAGAAGCAGCTCCCATTATAAATTGCTGTATTTGACTTCTAAGCTAATACCACCTGTCTTTGTTTATAGATTACATAATTGCACAGTACCTACAACTAGTGCTTATGTTGAACACAGTACAGTTTCACAAAGCTATTTCTGAATGTCTTGACAAATTATGTTCTTTCTAAAGTGTTTTTCTTTTTCTTCGAATTTATTTGTACATTGACATGATCACTATAAATTCTGAACTTCAAAAGGATAGCTGAGATCCTTGGAAATTTGTCCCTGACATTCCATTTCTAGATGGCTGTGTTAACAGGGCATTCACTAATCCTAGAAATAGAAGTACAACAGTGAAACTACATTGACGGGGACTTACAGAGAACATCATTGGCGTGCTGATTTTTTATTGTTATAACTTAAGGTCTGAACCTAGGAAGAAAGAAAGAGATTGCCTTTAATTGACTAATCGTGTTCTTCCACATTTGTCTCTTAATCATCAAATTCCACCTATCCTTTACAGGAGGTGACGCTGGACACTGAGTGTTGGGGAGGAGATGTTGCTGTGGGAAAGCCTTCCACGTGACCCACAGTCCCCACCATCCCCGCAGCACCCACGGCTGCATGAGGCTGGCACAAGTCAGCGTAGCCGTGTTCCAATCGTTCCCGTGGCGTTCGCATTTCTCATGGTTAGGGTACATTGAACAGAGTGACTGCTCATGATTTTGACATCTAAAAATCACTCATTTTCTGTAGCATCTTCCCCCTTGTTGGTATATGCCTCAACTTGGCAAAACTGTCTTAATTATAAAAGGGGTTTATAATCTTTAGCACAAAGATACAACACAGAAAAACTGTATTGCCTAAGTTGATGCCAAATTCGAGTTAAAGTGCCAGCTCTGGTTTGGTGCGTGCTGACAGGGGCAGCGTCGGGCTGGGGTACCTTCCTTCCAGGATGAGAACAGGTGGTGAGACCTGCGTGTCACTCAATCAAGGTGTGTTTTCTGCAGCATGTGGTTCCTCAAAAGAACACTTTTGAGGAGGAGGAGAGAGGGAAAAGTTTACAAAGAGGTCATGTTCGTCAGGGCTTAGCCCATAAAATGCCTATAAAATTGTATCTTATTATCATTTGAGTGTATCCCATTCAGGACACATTCAGAAAGTTCTGGTCTTCTTTGGAAGGTATAAGACATTGAGACATTAGCCATTACTGTGTTTATAACACAGAGACTACATTCCCTGTCATTTTTCATCTTTAGTGTGTACTTTCAATTTAGTTTCTTCAAGGATTGTCATTTTTGAAAAGATACCTTTAAAAAAAATAGAATCGGCTGGGTGCAGTGGCTCATGCCTGTAATCCCAGCACTTTGGGAGGCCGAGGCGGGTGGATCATGAGGTCAGGAGATCGAGACCATCCTGGCTAACATGGTGAAACCCCGTCTCTACTAAAAATACAAAAAGTTAGCCAGGCATGGAGGCACCTGTAGACCCGGCTACTCGGGAGGCTGAGGCAGGACAATGGCGTGAACCCAGGAGGCAGAGCTTGCAGTGAGCCGAGATCCTGCCACTGCACTCCAGCCTGGGCGACAGAGCGAGACTCCATTTAAAAAAAAAAAAAAAAATTGGAATCCTCAGCTGGGCGCAGTGGCTCACACCTATAATCCCAGCACTTTGGGAGTCTGAGGCAGGAGGACTGCTTGAGCCTAGGAGTTTTAGACCAGCCTGGATAACACAGTGAAACCTTGTCTCTACCAAAAAAATAACATTTTTAAAAGTAGCCTGGTGTGGTGGCACATGCCTGTCGTCTCAGCTACTCAGGAGGCTAAGGTGGGAGGATTGATTGCCTGAGCCCTAAAAGTGGAGGTTGCAGTGGCCAAGATCCCACCACCACTCCAGAACAAGACCCTGTCTCAAAAAAATAAAGGAACAATATCTAGACCAGGTCTCCCTGAACACATACGACAGGTCAGGTCCTAGGCTGAATGCACCACAGACCTCACTGATGCTCATCCCGACGGACTAGGCGGGTAGTAGTGCCAGCATTCTACAGATAAACTGGGGCTCCGAGAGATTAAGATCTTGCCCCAAATCACAGAATAGCAGCAATGACTCGGGACTGGGAGTCAGAACCCTCTGACGTTGAAGGCTCCGCCTCTCCAGCAGTGACCCAGATCTGGGAGTCACAACCCTCTGACGTTGAAGGCTCCACCTTTCTAACCCATGGTCCAAAGGTGTCCAGATGTTCCCTTACAGGAAGCACCCCCTCCACTGCCTGCTTCCACGCTGGATGTGCATCCCCTGCTTTCTCCTGCTGTTTCAGACAAGGTTGTGTCCCATCCCTGACCCTCCACCGCTGTGACCCACACGTGGCCCACAGAGTCCCTCAGCCGCGAAGCTGAGGCCAAGGTTCTCCCGCATTAGCCACTGGAAAGTAAGTGGCGGGAGCTGTAAGGAGGCAAATTATTTCTCAAACCAAGAATGAAAGTCCTTACAATTAAAGGGCGTTAGTGCTGAGGCCCTGTCGCAGTAAGTCCTGGTTTTCTGTCACTAGAGGCATTCCAGAAAATTCTATAAATTATGCCATAAAAGTACTACATGCAAAATTGAATTTGATGACATATAGGGACCCAGATCAACAGTAAGATTCCAAAATCTTAGGATATATAGTAATTTTTTTTTTTTTGAAAGGGAGTCTTGGTCCTTCTCCCAGGCTGGAGTGCAATGGTATGATCTTGGCTTACTACCACCTCTGCCTCCCGAGTTCAAGTGATTCTCCTGCCTCAGCCTCCAAGTAGCTGGGATTACAGGCACGTGCCACCATACCTGGCTAATTTTGTATTTTTAGTAGAGATAGAGTTTCACCATGTCGGCCAGGATGGTCTTGAACTCCTGGCCTCAAGTGATCTGCCCACCTTGGCCTTACAAAGTGCTGGGATTACAGGTATGAACCAACCACGCCCAGCCAGGATGCCTAGTATTTAAATTTCACTTACCTTATTTTTAGGCATCTGAAAAACTATTTTTCTTCAATAAGGTAGGGTGGAAAGTTAATTTTTGCTGCCTCCAAATTGTATTTCCCTAAACACGTTTGGTTTTGTTGTAGGGTTTTTTTGTTTTGTTTTGTTTTTTACCTTTTGGAGCCTCCAGGATCCTCCTCTGGACTCTCTCAGCTCAGTGATGTCTGCATTCAACAGATATTTACTGATTTCTTATGATGGAGCAAGCCACTGTCCAATAGACAAAAATGATGCAACAATGAGTAAGACATGGCAAAGGACCTAACCAATCACCTGACAGTGGGAGCAGACAGACCAGGGAAAAACTATTTACAGGAAGTGGAAACTGTTTAGTGTCACAAGAGAGGTGCAGATAAAGTACCTTAAAAACTCAGGGGTCTCAGCAACACTTTCACCTGGGAAGATTCTGAGAAGGCTTCCTGGAGAAGGTGGCACCGTGCTGGGCCTTGACGCGCGGTTGGATTTGGCCAAGGAGGTGGATGGGGATGATAGAAAAGGAGATTCAAGAGTCCACGCAGAGGCCCCTTTGTCTCCTTCCTCTGGAGGAAGATCTTCATGTCAGCACTGCCCTTCACCCTGCTTGCAGGGAGGGTCTGTGCTACCTGACCTCTCAGAGCCCTCTCTGTCGGGGCCATGCCCCATGCCCTGGGGGACAGGTGTTTCTCAAAGGATGAAACTTCCCTAAAGCTCCACCCTCTGCTGTCATTTGAGATTTTAGTCTCCTTCAATGCAGTGGTCACATTTAACATTTATCATCCACAGATAG